CCACCAGCTAAATTCACATGGTCGCGACCCTTGACTGATTTGGCAGAGGGCAGATGCAATATTAAGGAAGGAACATTAACCATTACAGATTTCTCTGTGGGAGACACTGGAACATACATATGTGCAGCTCAGAACAAAGTTGGACGAAAAAGAGCCTTTACTACATTAGGTATCCAAAGGATACCAGGTAAATATGGCTATATATATGATCGATCATGAACATTAGCAAATCACATCCGAGACCCGTGACAGCATTTTTTCATCTAACAAAGGACATGTAATGAAACTCCCACTAGAGCTGAATTTGTTTCGCCTTCTCAGACAGGTTTTTGCTCGGTAAAAGTCAATAGTTAAACTTTTGCAACTCCCTACACGCCGGCTCAAGCTAATGGCGCCATGCGCTAAAGTATCACTTTATTTATCAATTGAGTTCGATACAGTTGTTGCGCGATGTTTGTGCCATGTGTTTCTCTTTGTTAGTTATTTATTGCTGATGTTTCCCGCCTTTAGTTATTTCCTGCGAGGAGGTCATTACGAAATATTCAGCAAGGCATTCTGGTACTTACGAACTAACAGCAAACTCGTTGAGATATATGGTAAGTTGATCTAGTATTTTTAATCTATCTGATGTTTTAATGTTATAAACTACTTATATCATTTTGATATGATCAGAAGCGTATGACATAAAATTATACGCTTCTGATAAAATTTCTAAATGACTTATAATGAAAAGTCCCCTAAGGAGGGGGTTTTCGTCGCTCAGAAGTGACCGATGCATGGATACCATTCAAACACTTTCAATACTGCTGATTGTTTATCGCTCATTACTTTAGATCTTTAGCCCAAAGTTTCAAGAAATTTAAATCTCTATTCATCCAGAAGGGCAATAGTTAATAAACCCTTCATTCGGTAAGGTACAAACACGTTGTTACCTATTCCAAAGCCTAAGTACACGAATCGAATACGTCATGCAGAGAAAAATTTAATGAGTCGCAGAATTTCCGAGAAGCTCTTTTTCTTGAAAAATATATACTTCTTTTCTTGGTCAAGCTTTTAATATTTTTTGTTTCAGCGAAATTCCTTTCCGACCTAGTTTTTCAGCTTGTTCGCCTTAAAATTCCTTGACATCACTTAACTTGATCCAATTCTTTAACGTTCGAATGATTATGAGTTTTCTTCGTTTTTTCAATGACTATCTGTAAATCTCAGAAGACGTTCATCAGCACCATGAGCCCATTACTGGGCTCATGTCAGCAGTAAAAATCTGCATTAAGGTGCATCTTAAAGCAAGAGCTTTTATTTGTTTTATTCCTGCTCCTCATAAGTTGTTCTTATACGTAAGCTATACCTATTGTCTCCCCAGGTATACTGTGATATCGGGGTAGATCGCACAGCATGGACCCTTGTCGCTCGATTTTCAAACAGCGACGGCAAAAATTGGATGCGTCACGATGGCAGATGGTGGTATGACCAGCAAAGTGACAATGGGACAACAAATGACCCTTCAATAAACGCTGATATGATCTTGCCTGCCCTTTTGTTGGTCAGCGGTAATGAAATAAAAATCACACGTAGTGATGACCCTAGCCACACCCCTCTGTTGCAGACAACAGGGAACTGTTTTGGTTGACAACAATTCCGATCGAAAATCAGTAGTTATGGTGACTTTAGAAATGATAAAGTCTGGGCCAGTGATCGGTGTCTCGGAAGTTGCACAGTTCAATATGGAGGACAATACAAATCAACAGATAGGTTTCAACAGGCTGAATGCAATGGAAACATCCAAAAAAATGCTGACAAGATCGGCTTCTGGTGTGACTGGGGTAGTGGAGATGGATCAATGATGATGATTGGTGGAGGAGGAAGCTGTGCACGTGCAGATCATTGAATTGGAATCACAGAAACTGGCGATGTTTATTTTGTTGACCTCGGAACCCGTGAGACCGAATATGACTCTAGTTATGGTGCTCAAACAAATTACGCCCCATCCCGGTCCTACTCGTTAAACTTATGGATCCATTAAAATAATCAGCCCTTCATGTTTCAAACTTAGTTTAGATCCGAAGAACTTTGCTTAGGGAGGAAAGAGCTGCACTATTACTGACCATTTTAAGATATTCATCAAACTTGGATTACAATGTGACATTAAATGAATAATTTTATCCTCAACAAAGATAAAATAACTTGACCATCACCCCAGCCGCAACTCTATAACCTTTTAACATCTTCAGATCCTCACTGGCAACAATTTAAATGCTATAAGAACTTTTCGAGGAAATAGTATCCAATGCGGAATGATTTTAAGTCGGACTCACAACTCATCTTTTCAAGGAAATGCGAAGTATCCACTCTTCATTGTTTAGTGATGCCAGAAATAAAATATGCAAGATATTTTAAATGTTTTAATTGGTTATTTCATCACCAAATTGCTAAAGTTGCATTGAGCTCGAGCACTACGTGTTTAATTGGATAAGCATAAAGAAAATAACTCGATAACTAAATTGATGTTCTGACATATGAATAAATAAAAACCAATGCAAAAAAGCCCGCGCAAGACAAAGAGGTCAACTCATGAGAGTCATCAAGAGATTATCACTTGGTGTATAATCATTGAACAGTTTAAAAGACTCGAATGAAGTCTAAAAAAATCGATATCTACATTATGCTCGAGTTTTCTACCAACTTGTCAACTGAGATAAAACGAAATGGAAGCCATTACTTGATTAGACACCCTATGGTCCCGCAAACCAGATGAAGGCCTGGAACTAATAACTTAGGAGCCGGTGGTTTTTTTATCGCCGGATAGGAGGTGGGGAAGGGAAGAGAAAGGAAGGGGGGAGGGGAGAGAAAGGGGAGGGTTCGGAGGAATCTTGTTGTGTCACAATAAAATACTGTTTCATATCTTGTTTCTAAATCTTCCCAAAGTTTAGGCCTTCTCAAACCCTATCTATTTTCCTAGATGATACAATATCCTTATCTCGTACCCAGATCCTACAGTTTAACTTTACCTTTCAACCACTTGGCCGTGAAAAATCTGGGTGCTTGACTCATAAGATCCCCTAGTCTGCCTTCAAATAAAAAGGAAAAACTTATCAGCTTTCTCTTTGACATGTCTGGGCCCTTCAACAACATCTCCATGTAACTACTAAAAACTTTTTCGGCTTCGTTCTCTATTCCGATGTTTTTGTACGGTCCACTTCGTTTGTGTAGCATCAAATCTCTCTAATTTCATCTCGCGAAATTAATATAGGTCAAAGACGGACAACGGAAAGAGTAGCATATCTTTTTAATCGATCACCATTACAATGATCTCAATACAGTAACTTCCTTTGGGTCCAAATTTAAAAAAAAAAAAAAAAATGTACGCCATTACATTGAATTTGAGGTGAACTGGCAGGTTTCCAGCCTTCACTCGGCTTAACTTTAAACGTATCGCGTTTACGATTAACTCAGCCTTCAAAGTAAGGATTAAAATAAACTAGAAACTTTAGCCATGTCATTCGCACGGGAAGTGCAAATCTTCAGCGGAAGAAGGCGAGTCAGTTCTCTCTAAAGTTTACTATTGATGTTGTTTACCAGAAGACCCCTAATGTTCGTGAGAAGCTACGATGGACACTACAAAGAAAGCTTACACAAAGTCTACAGACGACGTTTTTCGAAAGAGCTCCTCGGCTCGTCGGAATTTTCTTTTATCTCAATTCTACTGGTTGTTGCGCTGAACTTGAGAATGAAGGTCATAAAGAAGCGAACGGATATGAACGAGTGGTGGGGGGAAGGGGCATTTCCTAGTAATATGCTCGTGGGGATGTGGATGGCGTCGCATTTTCACTCCTGGATTGACTAAAATGAAATTGCATCTTCAATAGAGTTACTAGGTGATGGATCGAAGTATTTTCGTAATTTTGGGGTAAGGAAATTCTGGTAATCAGAGATTTGAAAACTGTAAGATTCGTGCTTCAAAAATTGTTAAATTTTGTGAGCAAGGGTCTATTAGTGGCCATTAAATAAACTATAATGGGTAGGGGTTCGGAGAGGCAAGTGACACAAACCTACGATATATACCCAAGTCCTCCTCCCCTTTCCCTGGGGGAAATATCAAGACACGATTTTCCATCTTCAAGAAGAATACCAGACATTTGAGGATTTCCCGCTTTCTGAACGTTTTGTGAACTAATCAAAAAATCAAAATCGTAAACATCAGTAACCACCCTTGAACTAATAAACGGCTAACGGTGACCGTAAGTATTGTGCTATGGACTCACGCGGTGATCTTTTAGACGAACACAATACTGACTTATTGTAGGGATGATGAAGTACCTCGTACCCAGTTTTACAGTGTAACTGTAACTTGCAATCACTTGGCCGTAAAAAGTCTGGGTACGAGATCCTCCATATACAAAAATAAAGCATGGGGAGGTTTAGAATATGAGGTCTTGGGTAAGGATTTAAATTAAATTTCCATTGTCAATTTCAATGCTCCATTCCATATCTTGCTCGTTGTAACTTCATTAACAAAGACAAAAATATACACTTCCAAACTTCATTTTCAAGGAGGTTCAGTCCTGTTTTCGTAGTCTAACAAGAGAAACTTTTTAATTTCCTCTTTAACCTGTCAGACTATTCAATAGCATCTCTATGTGACTATTCAAAAACGCACTTATTTCTACTTTCAATTATTATTCAGATGTTTTTGTACGTTGATTGAAATATTT